TCTCTCTGCTGTCTGCTGCTTCAGTGTTGGGGTCCCAATCCGGTCTCCTCAGTGGAAACCCAGCTTCAAGCTGTTCAGGGATAGTGGTGGATCTATAAATGTACCACTGCGTGGATCAGGCGCAGCCGCTGCTCCGACGGATTGCCATCCCTCTTAACCCGAGACGACCTGGGTCCGCCGACGGATTGCCGTCCCTCTTAACCCAAGGCGACCTGGGTCCACCGACGGATTGCCGTCCCTCTTAACCCGAGGCGACCTGGGTCCGTTTCACTTTGCCCACAAAAATCGCCCAAGTCCAGGTCCCTGTTCGGGTGCCACCTGTCGCGAGCTGGATTGCCTTGGGCAACTCGGTCTGCGACTACAGGGGGCCTGAACTGGCGACGCGTGAGCAAAGAGGCACACACTTGATACACAAGGAGTTTACTTTAGTTCCTCATCTCCGGATCTCTACCCCGCTCTCTCTCCGTGCCCGAAAGGGGTGGCAACATATATATACCATAATGCAACCAATCAGCATACAGAGAACAGATTATTACCTTATAAGGATAAATCAAACACCCATGGGAACATATCATGTGATCTACAGGAAAACTAAATCTAATACAAAATGGCTTCATAGGCTATATCATAAAATGGTGGAGGGGCGGATCTATGGTTCTCCACAGTATCCACCTTGGGTACTCCAAGTGGCCTTCAAAAGGTGACTTAATGTCCATAACACTTAAAAATGAACCTGCTTCCAAAGAGACTGTACATGAGAATTAAACTTTCACAAACTATCTTGATCAAACACTCAAAGTTCCAACCTTCTTCATTTGTAAGGCAGGATCAACATTTTCCCTTTCATAATAATAGAATTTCAGGCTTATAGAAACAATATGGGGCTGGTGGTATAGTTTAGTGGTGGAGCGCTTGCCTGGCAAGCATGAGGTCTTGGGTTCCATCCCCAGTACCTTAAAAAAAAAAAAAAAAAAAAAAAGAAAGAGGACTATGGCTTGTGATAAAGAATGTGATTAATGATGAAATTTGCTTTATATTGGCAGGTTACCTTACTACCTAAAGCCTTTTTCATGGTTTTTTTTTAGAAAAACTGAAGGAGTGAAACATGTTTGAATAGTTATAGTATGACCAACACAGTAATGAGAACATAGATTAATGATTAGTTTTCAATAGGAATGTGAATTTGACCATAATAAAGATCAAACAGCTGGTACCAGTATTTTTAGAATATAAAGAATCCATCAAGTCTGTATTGTTAAACATATTGACTTTTTTGAGATTCTATTCATGGTAACTATTAAAATTATGTATATTGGATAAAATAACTCACTCTGGGTCAACAAGAAGGAACTCTAAGAAATGCGTAGGAAATGAGCAATTTGTGGCCTAACCACTACCACATGGTCTGAGTTTGATGCAAGTGTTGAAAGTGTTTGTAATATTCTTTGTTTGCTCTACAACAACTTTATGGCCTATGAAACATGGGTTGGTTGGTAGTTAAAATACACTTGACCTAAAAAGTTTGATTTAATTGGAGTGTGGCAAAAATCCAAGAATCAGCCATGCATTAAGGTCTGCTGGCAGCAGGGGATGCTTGCCCACTTTAGGGACTGGCGTTAAGGAAAGGCTTGGGTAGTTCAAGATAGGAACAGATGGAACCAACTTTTCTTCCCCCAGCATCTGCTGTAACTGTAAGGAATAGGTACCGTCTTGGAAAGAATATGAGGATTCTTTAGAGTCCCAAGGGTTCAATGAGGCTACGTGTGGGACTGAACATAAGTTGGATATTCTCAATATGAAAGGCCAAGATGTTTGAACAAATCTAGATCAAACAACACTACTCCATAGACCTGGATACATTGGTCTCCAGGGCTAGCTCTGATTTCCTAACTAGAGAAGACTCAGTCTTCCAACTGGTGTAGAAACCTGTCTTTAACACTTTACACAACTCTTGCCACTATATTCATTATCAGGACTAGTGAAAATGAATACAATAGAGAGGCTCATTTCTTTCTTAGCATTTCTTTTCTCTACTTCCTTTCCCTTCAAGTTAGCCAGTATGGGGACAGACAGGTTAAAAAGGAATAAAAATTATTTTAGAGGAGTTTGTGTTGAGCTGATACGGATGGCGATGCCTTGAAAAATACTTGCAAAGGTGGGAAAAAGTGAAATATGAGGCTCAGGCCAACAAGGGACCCTGTCTTGAACAAATCTCCAGTAGCAACATGAAAGGGACAGTGCTCCAGGAAGGCCTTCTAGGTTCCAGTACCAGGCCCTGTACTTCAGCCCACAGGGACCAGCCTATTCTTTGGATTGCCAATTAGACACTTTATAAAGTGGAACATTACAGATACTTGGTATCCCTGGTATTTAGCTAAGCTCACTTCCCCAAACTAAATACTTTCCAAAATTACTGATGAGAAAAGTGAGACATTTAAAGTCTGGTCATATAATTTCATGTAATATGATACCACCTTTGCTAATGGATAACATTTTTTATGTTAACTCACTGCTTAAAAAGATAATTATAGTTTTCTCATATAAGGAAATGCACCTCATAAAAACTGTCTAGTCTTGTTCTCCCTCCCTCAAAATAATTTAAGATTTCCACCCTGTCTGGACTGTTCTTTCTAGTACAACTTGCCATTTATTAATATTTATCTCTAGAGTTGTGCTGCTCAGTGAAATAGCCATTAATCACATGTGACTACCGAAATTGGCAATGCAGCCAATCTAAATTAAGATGCGGAAAGTGTAAAACAAGCTCTGGATTTCAATGGTTTACTATGAAATGCAAATTATAGAATATCTCATTGATTAATTTTTGGAATAGTGGGTTAAATAAATTACCTTATTAAAATTATTTTCTCTAGTTTTTTTGAGACAGGGTCTCACTATTTAGTTCAGGCTGGCCTTGAACTTGTAGCAATCCTCCTGCCTCAGCCTCTGAGTGCTAGGATTACAGGTGTGTGCCACCACACC